CCTGGGACTGGTGCAGTGGCCTAGCAGCTAAAGTCTTTGTCTTGAACGCACTGGGATCCATATGGGCACCGGTTCTAATCCCAGCAGCCCTGCTTCCCATCCAGCTCCCTGCCTGTGGCTTGGGAAAGCAGATGAGGATGGCCCAAAGCCTTAGGATCCTGCACCTGCATAGGAGACCTGGAAGCGGTTCCTGGCTCCTGGTTTCAGATTGGCTCAGCTCCAGTTGTTGTGGTCACTTGGGGAGTGAATGATCGGATGGACGATCTTCCTCTGTTTCTCCTCCTCTCCGTATATCTGACTTTGCAGTGAAAATAAATACATCTTAAAAAAAAAAAATCTGTTTCCTTAAAAAAAAAAAGTCCTGGGTGCCTCCATATAGCTAGCTGGCTGTGTTAGTTTCAGCGCACCTATCTGCCAGTGGGGATAAACGGCTTCCAGATCATTCGTTTCACATTGTCGAACAAGCCTCCCTCGGGTTCATCTTGCCCTATAGGACCGAGAGGGGAAAAGCTCTTGGCAAGCTGCGAATGAATGCACAGACTAGAAATGGACGCCTCCGTGAGAGCCCTCATTCGCCTTTCTTTCCTGTCCCCGCGGTAGCCGCCAGCCGATGCACCCAAGGGCCAGCAGACCTGCCCGGCCAGGCCGGCGGCCCCATCCCAGGACCCTTCCCAGGGGCGCGGCGGGACCAGAGGCCTTTCTGCCGGGAAGAGGGCGCGTCTCCGTCGCCCTTGACCCCGCCCCACCCGCACCCTACGGGTTTCCGTGATTGGCTGCGTCGCTCTCCAATCAGGAAGCCTCTGCGGAGCTGGGGGCGGGGCTTTCCGGGGATGTGGTCACGCACGGAGCAGGCCCCACTTGTTCTTCCTCGTTTCCCGGCCTCCCAGCGCCGAGGCCATGACTCAGCGGGAAGGAGTGACCAGGCTTGGGCCTTGAACGGCCGTGTCTTGCACGTCCAGCGCTATGCTGTCTCCTCCCCTAGCGGTCCAGAGGGCTGGGCCGGGGCTTTTGTTGACTGAGGTGGAGTGGCCAAATGTGATCATCTAGTCTATCTGGGTGCCCCCCAGATAAAACACACGTCCCACCCTTTCAGTGTAGAGAAGTTAACAGTTCTCACCTCTGGGGAGATAAGAGACAGTTGGGGGGCTGGGGAGGAGAAAGAGTTTTGGCCTTGGATGGGAATTCCAGTTGCGGGATCCAGACCAGCCCCATTCAGGCCGGTTACCCCTGGAATGGGAGTTTGCCTGTTCCGCCCCCCCCCCCGCCCTTCCTGTGTGTTGGGGAATGGGCTAGAAAAGTGTGAGATGAGTTTGCACCGCCAGGCCATAGGCTAGGAGCTGTTAGTGGGATGGCTAGGAAGTTCTGCATCAAACGCTGTGGTGTGATTTGGCTCCCAAACTCCTGCATCCTGAAGTTATGCTAAACCCCAAATGTGCTAAATTAATGGTACTCAGAGGATGGGGGCTGAATTCAATTAAGATTGTGTGGGAGGTGGGCCTGGCAGGGAGTCCCTTGGTCATTAGGGACTGCATAAAGTTGATTATAAAATTTCCCAGTGGGCCCAGCCACCTTCTCCCCTTTTTCTTCTCTTGTTCACTCGGCTAGCTGCCATCTTCATCAGATTCCAAACCTATGGGACCATGTGGTCTTGGACTTGAGCCTCCAAAACCAAGCCCCCAGGTAATTTTGTTGTGATAAGGAAATGCTGACTTAATATACCAAGTATTCACCGACAAATGAGTGGATAAACTGGTGAATTACCACGTGGGTGAAGGGGTGGGTGCGTTGGCTCAACTGGCTAATTCTCCACCTCCAAGCACCAGCATATCCTATATGGGCACTGCTTCATGTCCCGGCTACTCCACTTCTGATCCAGCTCCCTGCTAATAATATACCTGGGAAGATAGCAGAGGATGGCCCAAGCCATTGGGCCCTTTCATCCACAAGGAAGACTTCATGCAATTCCAAGCTCCTGGCTTTGGTTTGGCCCAGTCCTGCCTGTGATGGCCATTTGGGTAATGAAGTAGTGGATACAAGATCTCTTGTCACTCTGCTTTTCATAGAAGTAAGTCTTTAAAAAATAAAACTCCTGCCTTTGACCTAGAAACCCCAGATTGGGTGGCAATCACAGCTCCTCTGGGTTACCTCTTTGCCATTCCCCTTTGTTCCAGTCAGTTCTCTCTGCTCCTTTGCTAGCCAGGCTCTGTCCCCATGAAAGGATCTGGAATGGTTCTTCTCGAACTTTCTCCTAGCTAAAACATTCACAGCCAGCTTAGGCCCAGCTCAAACCTTACCTCCCGAGAGGCTGTTGCCCAGCTGCTCTGTCTACCCCAACTCCGCTTTCTCTGTGGCTTAATCATTAGGTCATGCTGTCTCACCTGTGTTATCTGTTTGTTCTGTGGTTTGTCATTGGGCTCCTTGCTTGAAATTCTATTTATGTAGAAGACAGCTAGAGAGCTTCCCCTCTGCTGGTTTACTCTTCAAACACAGTAGTGGGGCCAGGCCAAACCCGGGGAGCCAGGAAGTGCATCCCACCCTTGTGGGAGGCAGTGACTGAATTCTCTTCCTCCCATGATCTGAGTTAGCAGGAAGCTCGAGCCCTGGAGTGCAGCCAGGAGGTAAAATCAGCAATCCTGTAAGGGATGGGGGTGCCCTAATCAGCCATGGTAGGACAGATACCCATGCCCCATTTCCCCTATCCGAGCCATGTATATAGGAACTTGCTCTATATCTCCTCTTGCTCCAGAGCCCAGCAACAGGGATTGGTCAAGCACACAGGTGCTCCAGGAATATTTATGAGTGCCCTCCTTTCATTTGGTGAGTACTGTTGAAGCATCTACTCTGTGTGTGAGGCGGGGGGGGGGGGGCTCGGCTTTGAAAGACTCTCCCCCTACCCCCCTTCACCCTGGGCTAGCCTGGTCTGAGAGGCGTGGTCACCAGCAGGTGAGGGAGCTCGGGTAAGATGGAGACTCCCAGTCCAGTCTAGGAGTGGGTGTCAGGGAGGGATTCCCAGACACAATGATAGCTGGGGTTTCAGGCTAAGGGGAGAGCTGGCTACAAGGCAGGAGGGCAGAGGGAGGGGGGGAATGCCTATTTTAGGCAGACAGATCCTGTGGGCAGTGTGTCCTCCACCCCCGTGGGAAGCAAGCCCAGATATTGGAGGAACCGAAAGCAGCTCGGTGTGGCCTAACCCTGGCAGCAAGGGCACAGCCAGAGCGCACAGAACCTTATCCAGGGAGCCAAGATCAAGGAGACCACTGGGGAGTCACAGAAGAGGTTGGAGCTGGGAAGTGGCACCAGCTGATTTGGCCTTTTGGGGAAGCTCCTGGTCCCTGTGACTGGGGAGTGGTTAAAAGACACAGGAGAGGTCCCCATCTCCTTATGTCCCTCCCCCACCCTAAGCCAAGGCTGAACTAAGCCGAAACGAGGAGCCCACTCCAGCTCACTCATTTATCGGTGAACACTTGGTATGGACCTCAAGCACTGGAGTGATCACCCCAGCTGCCCCCCAGAGTGGGTATTTGCCAGAGGCTGGGGCTGCAAGTGCAGCTGGAACTCTCACTGTGCCCAACACCTGCTCCTGAGGTGCCTTTGTTTAGGGAGGGCCATGTAGAGTCCAGGAGTGGGGAGCTGTGCAAAGGAGAGACACACTGAGAAGTGTGTATGTGTGTGTGTGTGTGTAAGGGAGACCATGGAGCAGCTAGATTACTTGTTCTGCAGTTCTGCAGCATTCTTCTAATGCTACAGTGGGGACTCAGAGAACTCTGTGACCCTAGACAGTAGATGCCAGCAAATCATGCATTGGCCCTCCAACCCCCACCCCCCACCCCGGTGGTGATGGTGGGGTGCTGAAAGAGCACAGTATTCTTCTACCCTTGGGGACCAGGGCTGAGCAGACACTGGTCAATCTGTGAGGTCTTCCCCTGCCTCCTGCCCCCTAGCCCACCATGGAAGTTTGTTCTCCCTCGCTCCCTTCCTTTTTTGATCTAGGATTCTGTATATGTAAAAAAAAAAAAAAGAGAGAGAGAGAGAGGCCAGTGCTGTGGTGTAGCAGTAAAATAAGCCTCCATTTTTGGTGCCAGCACCTCAGTATATGGGTGCCAATTTGAGTCTTGGCTGCTTCACTTCTGATCCAGCTAACTTCCTTATGACCTGGGAGAGCAGTGGAGAGGATGGTCCCAGTCTTTGGCTCAGCTCTGGCCATTGCTGCCATTTGGGGAATGAATCAGCAGCTGGAAGATCTGTCTCTCCTCTCTGTAAATGTGTCTTTCCAACAAAAATAAATAAATCTTTTTTTTAAAAAAAAAAGAATGTGCCAGTGCTCCAACTCCGCCTTACCATGAACAGATGGGGGACAGTGCTTTATTCACTTGGCACCTATGAGGGGGTGGCTACAGGGCCTCCCTTCCCAAAGTGGGGGCTCTGTGGTGGGGGCAGCATATATCAGAGATGCTGGTTCCCACGGCAGCAGGGAGGGGCCCCTGTCCCTGCATTGGCCCCTCCCAGCCCCTGGTCCAGCCGAGCACCATGGGGGTCCAGGCCTTTGGAGGGCTGAGCAAAGGCCCAGCTCCTTCTGCAGACCCTGGGAGACTAAGGGGAGAGCTAGCAGCTCCTCTCGCCTTCCCTCTTCTGGAGGGGTGGGGGGGTGGGGTGAAAGTGGGAATTAAGCAGGATGACAGGAAGCAGAGATGCCCTGTTTGTGTCCAGGAGCCCCTGGGCCTTCTGGCTCCAGGTCAGAGAAGGCATGGGTCAAGGTCGTTGTGAAGAGGTGTTCCACCTAAGACAGTTTAGGTTGATCTCCCTACCCGTCATGTAGTCGTGGCCCAGCCAAACACGGCAGGATAGGACCCACAAGAGTTGATGACCGGCTGGGGTCCAGTAGCCAGGACCACCCCACCCAACCTTTCTGGGCAGGCTCTGTCTCCCAGGTCGAGCAGGGGCTCCGTGGCAGAAGTGGGGGTGGAGGGAATGGAGGGATGGGGTATCAAGGGGCGGGGTGGTCTGCAGAGTGGTGGGGGGCTCATGGCGGCAGGCACAGGACACTGGCGTCCTCGCTGTGGTCACAGTTGTGGGCATCCCAGCGGATGTGGGAGCAGAGCAGCAGAGTGCTCTCATCACCGCGGCACTTGACGTTGTCCAGGAGGATGGGGCCTCGGCCCTGGCCAAAGTGGGCCTCGCCGGGGGCTCCCAGGGCTTGGCCGCAACCCAGCTGGAGACACAGGACGTTGGCTGCCCGCAGATCCCACGCGTCGTCACACACGGTGCCCCAACGCTGCCCTAGGTAGAGTTCCACACGCCCCTCGCACCGGTGGGCTCCACCGACGAGGCGAAAGTGTCCTGCGGTGATGGGGCGGAGACAAGGACTGCCTTCAGGCTCTTGTGGGTAGAGCAGAGCTAGGGTGCAAGCACCTGCTGGTGGGTGACCTCTGCACTGGGCTACTGGGCGCTTCACCCACCCTTGAAGCTTGAACCTCACCTTGGAAGGGGTTGGGGGATGCCGACCTGGGCACTTACCATCCCTGGGTCGAGGAGTGGGAGCCCGCGTGGTCTCAGCCTCCTCCTGCTGGACCAGCTCCTCTGGGCCTAGCTCAGTGAGGACAGAATACCAACAGTAGTTAGGCCAAGGTCGCCTGCACACCCACCTTCCTAAACCGGGGGAGCTCCATTCCAGGGAACGGAAGAAACGCATCAAGCTTGATCCCAGGCCCATGGCTCGGAAATGGGGCTGTGCTTTCCTGACTCAAGGGGTGGGGGGACCCAAGATGGAAATGAGGTTTTATATATTGAATCTTCTACGGCCAGGACTGTGGGGGAAGGAGACGCCAGATGAGGGTGAATTTAAGCAGGATTTTTACGACCATCCTCCCCGACTCCACACAGCACCTTCCCGCAGATGTTGGCCCCCAACAGAGGTGAGGACACCTCGCCCTTGGAGGGCTGAGGGACTGCATCGACCACCAGCCCCTCGTCCCACGCCCGGGCCCGGACCCCGCCCTGTCTCCCCAAGCCGAGAACGCGCCCTTCCCGCCCCATCCCTGCGGCGTACACGCAGGCGCAGAGCGCACCGACCCGCGGGAGGCCTGGCTCCGCCCAGGCCCCGAACGACCCCACCCTGCCCCGCCCACTCCGCAGTGCGCATTTACGGAGGTCCCGCCCGCGGCGCAGCGCGCTCCACGACGCATCCCGCCCCGCCCAGGCCGCAAAGCACATTGAGGCAAGCCCCGCCCACTCCGCAGTGCGCGCCAACGGACGGCCCCGCCCATCGCTCAGGGCCCCGCCCCGCTTGTGTCGCAGTGCGCGCCTACGCCCGGCCGACGCCACAGCGCACGTACGTACGGCCCCGCCCGTCGCTCAGACACCACCCTGCCCCTCCCCACGCCGTAGTGCGGGTTGACGCAAGGCCCCGCCCCCACTGCGGTGCGGCAGATTCGCGGCCCCGCGCCGCCCGTGGCGCCCTGCGCGCCTGCGCACAGCCCCGGCCCCGTCCCCGCCGCGGTGCGCGCTTCCCCGCCGGCCACGCGCCGGCGGCCTTACCTGCGCAGAGCGCGCCGGCGTCCTCGTGGTGGCCGCAGTTGTGCTGGCCCCAGCCCAGGTGGAAGCAGTCGCTCAGGCGGGCCTCGGTCCCCATGCAACCCACGTTGTCCAGCAGCACGGGACCGCGACCATAGCCGAAGTGACCGAGGCCCGTGGCGCCCAGCGCGGGTCCGCAGCCCGCCTCACGGCAAGCCACGCGCGCATCCGCGAAGTCCCAGTCATCGTCGCACACGGTGCCCCAACCCCCGGCGTACAGCACTTCCACTCGGCCGCGGCATGGATTCGGGCCTCCCACCAACCGCAGCCTCCCACCTGTGGGGCGCACAGGCCGGCCAGAGGGGCTGCACTGGGGCGAACGGCTCCCCGACGAGAGCCCCCCCACCCTCCCTGCCCCGCGGGAATCGGGGGGCACTGCTACTTACTTTTTTTACCTGCTGACCAGGTAGTAGTGGTCAGCAGTGCTGTCCACCCAGGTTGCGTGCCACCCCTTGCAGCTGCGGAGACAGGCAGCTCATTAGCATTTGAGGGGTGCCGGGCAGGACCCCGGGGATGCCTACCGTGTACCCGAACTGTGCTAGCCTCCACCTTTGTTCTGTGGGCTCACCTGCCTCTTGCCCATGGCCCATACATTTGGGGGACTGTCCCCCCAATCCTTCACTGCAGAAGCAGCTCCCAGTCCCAGCCACCCTGGTGCTGTTAAGATGCCACCCTGAACCACCCGGCTCTTTACCTGGTAACTCTGTGGCCCAGGCCCAGTCTCCGATGGCCGAGGGTGGCAGCGGTGTGAGCGTCGGAGGACCCGGGACTGGAGCAGAAGAGAAGGGAGCAGGCTGTTTAGGAGTGGGGCCCAGGGGCCTGGGACACCCACATCCCATCTGAGTGCCTGTTCAAATCCCAGCTGCCCCACTTGTGCACCAGCGCCCTGCTAAAGCACCCTGGGGAAAAACAGCAGCCCACACACCCAGGATCCCTACCGCCCACATGGGAGAGCCAGATGGAGTTCCAGGCTCTCGGCCCCAAGCCCAGCTCAGCACTGACCATTGGGGCTGGTTCATTTGGGGAATGAACCAGTCAATGAAAGATTTTTGTCTCCCTCCCCCCAACACTCTGCTCTTCAAGTAAATAAATCTTCTTTAAAAAAACAGTAGAACTGGAAAAGCAGCCTGTGCTGCTAGGCAGATCTGCTATAAATAGATTATCTCCGGGCCAATTCTAGAGCATTGTTTTTTTTTAAATAGTCCATGAGGTGTGCGTGGAAATTGCTGGAAAATTCTGGAAGCATGCTTAGAGGAGTATTGGTGGGACCATATGGCAATATTGCTGGATAGCTATGACGTGTACCCCAGGGAGCACTACTGTGATATTAACAGTAACATCTTTCTGTCCCAGGAGAGCTTCCAGGGGAACAAACAGACCGGTCTACCTCACTAGGGCTCCCTTAGAATCAGGACAGGGCCACGCCCACCTAGGCCTTGCCCTCGCAAGACCACGCCCCATCCATGACCACGCCCCAACACCATGGCCACACCCACGTCCAGGCCCCGCCCCGCCGATCCAGCCCCGCCCTCCTCTGACCACGCCCCCGGTGGCCCGCCTCTCCTGGTCCCTGGAGACAGCACCTGCGCAGAACACTCCCGCGTCCTCGTGATGGCCGCAGTTGTGCACTCCCCAGCCGAGGCTGGAACAGGTTGCCAGGCGGGTCTCGCTGCCTTCGCAGTGCACGTTGTCCAGGAGGATGTGCCCCGTGCCGTAGCCGAAGAAGGCGTTGGTGGTGGCGGCCAAGGCCTCCCCGCAGCCCAGCTGGCGGCAGACCACGGTGGCGTCCGATAGCCCCCAGTCGTCGTCGCACACAGTGCCCCACAAGCCGGCGTGCAGTATTTCCACGCGGCCCTCGCACGACCTCGAGCCACCCACCAGGCGCAGGCTGCCCTCACCTGGGGAGCGGGATAGGCGGGGCTGAGCCCTTTCACATGCATTATCAAGGTGCACCTGCAGGTTCTCTAATTCCTCCGCCCAGGAGGCCCTGGGCAGGCTTAGGGTCCCGGGAGGGAGAGGCGAGGTGGGGGGGGGGGCTGGCTTAAAGCCATCTCCCAACTAACTCATGGAAACCTTGCAGGACCCTTCCTCAGGAAGCCTTTTCTGGTGGATCTGATAGGATCCCTGCTGACTCCATCCCCTACTCCTCCCACCCCTGCCTCCTCAGGCCATCCCCTCATTCTAGTGCCTGCCTGCATCTCCAACCCTACTCCCCACTAGAGAAGGCTGTGCCATTCACCTCTACTAGGACCTTGCTTGGTCCTGGTCCCCACCTCCTCCCGGCTGCACCCCTACTTACCTCTCCAGTTCTGCGAAGTGATGGGTGGCGCTGGGCTGGTTAACATTTTCCTCATTATGGTGGAACGGGAAGGCAAGAATTCTGGGAAGGAAATAAGGATGTAAGAGAAAACACGGGGTGGAGGTGGGGATGTGTCCGTCCTCCACCCTCACATGTTCGCTCTCTTTGTTCACCCCCTTGGGGACTATTGGGAAATGCAGCCTGGCTCCTGGACAGTCCCTCCCCTGATCTAGCTCACAGCCCTGCCTACCTCCCCCAACACCCCTGCATCAGCGGCTCACCATCACACAGGACCGCCACATCCTCATAGTGGAAGCAGTTGTGGATGCCCCAGCCCCGGCTGCCGCACTCGCTCAGTGCCGCCTCCTGGCCGCGGCAGTCCACGTTGTCTAGCAGGATGGGGCCCTGGCCCTGGCCAAAGGCCAGCGGCCCCGGCACCGGCAGGGCCAAGCCGCAGCCCAGCTGACGACACACCACGTTGGCGTCCACCACATCCCAGTCATCGTCGCACACGCTGCCCCAGGAGCCGCCATGTAGGACCTCCAGGCGACCCTGGCACCGGCTGGGGCCGCCCACCAGCCTCAGCTCTGCCAAGAGGGTTGTGCTTGTGATTGTTAAAGTCCGTGGGACCCTTCTGTGGCACAGGGGGAAGGGGGGAGTGGGGAGGGCACAACTCTGGCAAGCTCCCCCACCCCCAGCAGCGGGGGAGGCATCTGAGATCGCCAGAGGGGCTGCCTTGCACCCACTACCCCCCAAGGTCTTGTCTGTGTATCTAGGGGGAGGCACTTACCTGGGAAGGTCAGTGGTGTGGGCTGCAGGGCAGCGGCTGAAACAGAGCCAGAAAGAATGTAAGCTCCCCTCTACCTTGGTCCCGGCAACACAGCCATCCCCATGGTCCTCAGCAACACCCCCTTCCTTCTTTGCCAAAGCACCATCAGTTCTGGTCCCCGTCGGCCTCACTGGCCTCCTGTGTCCTCCCTCCTGCCCCGAATCTTTTCCATTATCCGCCTGGTATGTGTGTGTGTGTGGGGGGGGGGAGGTGCGGTGGCTGACATCATTTGGGATTTCCGTGTCTGCCCATGCCTGGGTGACAGTGCTGCTTCGTTCTCCATTCCAGCTTCCTGTTCATGTGCACCCTGGGAGGCAGCAGGTGATGGGTTCCAATCCTTGACTGGGACTACCACCCAGGACTGCAGGTTGGGGTTAGGGTTGGCAACTCCTGGTCTAGAGCAGTCCCCAGGTTGTCTGGTCTGTCTTTTCTACAGACAGCTTTTCCCACAGCTGCTGACCAGCACCTGGCCCTGCTTGCCTATTTCCAGTATGCCCTAACTGCCCACTCTTAGGGTCCATTTCAGCTCTCATTTCTGGTTCCAAGCCCTTTGTTGCCCCAACTCTTTGCTTGTGTCCGTGCTATCAGGAGCTGGAAAGAACGAAGACTGAAGGCCAGTGCCTTGACATCCCACCTCCCACCATAATGTTATAACCAAGTAGCAGGGAGTAGAAGTAAGGCGAGCACTCACCCAGGGGCAGAAGCAGAAGGAAGGACAGAGCCGGGGGAAAGGATGAAGGAACGGTGGCCCCATCACCCGGCCTCCGCACCGGTGGCAAGCTCAGTGGGCTTGGCTGGTTTGGCTGGGGTCCCATCCGCGTCTGTGTGTGTCTGTGCACCCGGCGTCCCAGAGGCCTTTCAGATGATCCCATCAGGGGCACGGGGAGAGGTCACAGCCAGGACATCTGGAATATACAGTGGGTTCTGCTGCTACTGTCTGCCTCAGGGGAGCGGGCCGCAGGTACAACGCCACTTGGGTTTGGCATTCAGATGCCCAAGGGAGTTAGGACTATTTGAAGGTATAGGGCCAGGAGTGTTGGTGTCAAGGAGGCCTGAGTAGTTTTTAAGGAGCTCTAGGTAGCTGTTATCTTTCTTTCTTCCTTCTTTCCTCCCTCCCTCCCTTCCTTCCTTCTTTCTTTTAAATTAAGGTTATTTTTGACACTTTTTGCTTTTCATTTTTATAAGATTATTTGTATTGCAAAGTCAGCTATATAGAGAGGAGAGACAAAGAGGAAGATCTTTCATTCAATGATTCACTCCCCAAGTGACCACAACAGCTGAAGCTGAGCCAATCCGAAGCCAGGAGCCTGGAACTTCCTCCAGGTCTCCCATGCAGGTGCAGGGTCTCAAGGCTTGGGCTGTGCTCAATTGCTTTCCCAGGCCTTAGGCAAGAACCTGGATGGGAAGCAGGGCCACCAGGATTAGAACTGGCACCCACATAGGATCCCAGCTTGTTCACGGCAAGGACTTGCGCCGGGCCCTGAGACTCTTGTTTTAGTAAATGTGCTTGCACCTAAATCAATTTATCTTTCATTTTGTTTGTCATGGATCTTTGGTTGTTGTTAATTTGAAAGACAGAGTTATATATAGAAACAGATCTTCCATCTGCTGATTTACTTCCTAGGTGGTTGTAACAGCCAGGGTTGCGCCAGGCGAGAGCCTGAAGCCAGGAGGTTCTTCCAGGTTTACCATGAGGGTAGCAGGGACACAAATGCTTGGACCATCATCTGCTGCTTTGCCCATGTACATTAGCACAGAGCTAGATTGGAAGTAGAGCAGCTGGGACTCGAACCAGGGTCCATATTAGATGTTTGTACCTCAGATAGCAGCTTGACCTTTTGTACCACTGGCTTCTGTTTACCTGGTGATTTATCTATTGATTGATTTGAAAGGCAAGGGTGAGAGAGAGAGGTGGGAAGGCGAGAAGGAGGGGGAAGAAGAGGGCCAGAGAGAGAGAGGAAAGAACCATTTTATATCCACTGGTTCATTCTCCAAGCAGGCACAGTGGCCAGTAAGGTGGGCCGGGCCAAAGCCAGGAACTAGGAATTCCATCCTGATCCCCAAGCACTCGAGTCTTCCATGACTCTCTCTGAGTTACATTAGCAGGGAGCCAGGTCAGAAGCAGAGCAGCCAGGACTCCAGTTGTTGCTCTGACACGGACTCCTGTATTACCAGTGGCAGTTTGACCTGCTCTGCCACCATGTCTGCCTCAGATTTCCAGTGCAATATGAGGGGACTTCAAAATTTCTTGGAAAGATAAAATCTAAAGTCACATTTATTTAGAAGCCGGCATGTAGCCTAGTAGCTAAGATGTGAGCTGAGACAACCACATGTCCTGGGTCTCCTTTCTGGCTCTGGCTCCTGACTTCAGCTTCCTGCGGATTGCAGATCCTGGGAGGCCGTGGACAGGGTTTAAGTCACTGGACTCCTCCCACTCCCATGGAAAACCCAGATGGAGGTCCTGGTTCCTGGACCTAGAGTCTCTGAAGAATGAAGCAGTGGGTAGGATATCAGTCTTTCTACTTTTACCTTTTAATAAATAGATAATATAGATACCTTTTAATAAATAGATAGATGAGAAGATTGATAGACAGACAGACAGGGGCAGCGTTGTCCTTCCAAAAGGTCTTTATTTGGGTACCGTAAATGTTTGAAATTCACACATAGCCTTTTTTTTCCCCAACACTCATTGTCATGGAATTTTTGAAATTCTCCCCTCTTCCACAGAAACATTTTCTTTCAAATGAACTTAAGTCAGAAGACACGAAATCAGTTCACTGAAAAGAAATCAGGGCTGGCACTGTGACACCAGCATCCCATATGGGCTTTGGTTCAAGTCCCGATTGCTCCACTTCCAATCCAGCTCCCTGCTAATGGCCAGGGGAAAAAAAGCAGTGTAGGATGGCTCAAGACCTTGGGCTCTTGTACCTACATGGAAGACCCGGATGAAGTTCCTACTTTCGACCTGGTTCAACTCTGGCCGATGTGATCATCTGGGGGAGTGAACCAGTAGGTGGAAGATTTCCTTCTCTCTCTGTGATTCTAATTCCCCAAATAAAGGAATAAATTCTTCCCATCGTGGAGTCAACACCTAGGAGCTCCACTGCTCGCTTACTCCATGCAGGCATGTGGCCGGTGACACCGAGTTGGGTGGATGATGGGCAGGTTGGCTGGGAGGCTGCGGGGGCAGATGAGTCCAGGTAAAGAGGGGGATAAAGAAGGACAAACACGAAAACTATCTGAGCAGCTGCACTGGCAGAACCCAGGTGCCATGCGCTTTTGGGGGAGAGAGGGAGAGGCACCTGACCCCTGGTGGCCACCCAGATGGAGGCTGGCGGTGGACACGGTGGTTCCACGTGGGGGTACATTGGAGTACAAGGTGCCTGGAATGCGGTACCCTTTTCAGAAGGATCTCCCCCTTGCCTCTCACCCCCTGGCTTGCCCTGACTCTCCCTCTGCCCTGGCATTCAGTCCGCTTGGGAAGAACATGAAAACCTATCTGCTTGTGGACACGGGGTTTTCAACACCCATTCATGTGGGACCCAGTTCAGCCCCCAGAGGAATAATCAGCTTTTGTCCTGGGCTGGGGAGACATCTGGGAAATGGGGTTTGAAGCCTGCAGGGAGGGGAGTGCCACAACGCCATCTTGGCTGGGCCAGGGGCAGGGGGTGGGGAGAGCTATAGTTACCTGGGCTGTCCCCTGCCTCTTGGCCTCCTTGGGGCCAATCACCTCTTATCTTGGCTGGGCCGCTGTCTCCCACCCCAGCGACATCAGCCACCACCCTGTGTGTTTCCAGGGATGCTGGGGGAGCGCCCCGCCCCCTACTCCAACTCAATCCCTGCCACCCAACCCAGGAGCATGAAAGAAGGACCTCTTAACCCTGTCACCTGCTGACCCCAAGTTTTCAGAGACCACATGAAGCAGGGATGTGGGGGCACCCTCAGCCCCCTTCCCCCTCACCTGCTCCTGCTTCCCACCTTGAGTACCAGGGGCAGGATGTGGCTCTTTCCCTCCCAGTCCTCAGTGACTGGGGCTCCTCAAGGCTGTTGTGGGGGGGGGGGGATCCCTCTCTGCTCTTTGTAAATGCACCTGTCACCCAGGGGCAGGCAGACAGTGTAATGCAGCATCAACGCCCACTACCACCAGCACCGGACCAGCCTCACAACCTTGCCTCAACCACGCTCACTGTTTTCATCTGTAGGAACGGCTGTGGGATCTGCTTAGGTCTTGTTGTTGCTAGGCTAAAGTGGTGGAAGCCATGATGATGGGGATGGACTCCTCCTCCCTCCCCGCAGGGTAGCAGCCAGAGGTTGTTCTGTGATAGCCCCTGGCGCCGAGTGTGGACCTAGGCAGTGTCTGCTGGATATTTCAGGCTGCAGAATCACAGAAGGCATCAAGCAGCAGGGACCCCCGTCTGATGGATAAGAAATTTGTGCCACATGTACACATGCAGACACAGTGCACACACACACACATGCACACGCAATGCACCCACGCATGCGTCCGCCAGAGCGAAGGAATCCTACCTGGGGGAATGTTCCGGACTTGGCCTGGCCCTCCTCCCGCACTTGGGGCACAGTTGAGTCCCCTTTTCTGTCCTCGGAAACTTAGACCACAGAAGGGTCCTCCAAAGGCGAATCAGCACCGGTTCGGCTTCTTTTCTCTCCGAGGTTGCTGTGGAGTAAACAAAATCAGAGACCTTGTCCATGGAGCTGGCTGCTGGCCCCAGCCTGTCCCCGCCCGACCCCTGGGGCAGAGGGAGGTGAGGGGAGAGTGGAGGTGGCCTGCACGGCCTGAACCAGTCCCAGTGATGGGGGGCGCCCCAGAGCAAGAGTACGAGCTGGAAGAGGGGGAAGAGGGTGGTGTGGGAGGGGGCGGGACAGGGGAGAGGGAGGCGGGACGGGCAGGGCCAGGCAGCGCCTTCGCCTCCTCTGCCTTCTCCAGGGACTCAGGTTTCCGGATGACCTGAACAGGGCTCCACCCCTTCTTTGCCTCCCAGAGTTTTGCTGGCCCTTATTCAGCCCCTGGTGTCCTAAGCCATATTTCAGCTAAGGGAGGTGGGAGATGTTTGGGAATGTGGAGAGCAGGAGGTAAAGTGTCTGGGATGGTCTCCCCACGTGGGTGGGCTTTCACCACCCCATTCAGTGGGGGAACTGCTGACATTGTCCTCCCGTGGGGGCTTTCGAAATCGGGAGTGACAACAAGTGAGCTTCAGGTGGTTTTTTTTTCTGTGGCTTGTGGCTGCATTCAAGCGGGTGTGTGTGCTTTGCAAGGAAGCTCAAACTCTCAGAGTGGGAGGTAGAGTAGAGGCTCTGCCCTGTGCCTTAGATGCCATTGGGGCCTGCTTTCCTACTGTCCCCCAGTCTTCCTCCTAATTCAGTTTTCTCCTCTCCCACCCTCAGCTGTCTTTAACCCAATGGTACCGTAATGTCGAACCCACAAATGCAAACATTTAAAACAAAAAGATTTTCCATCCTTCGTCAGTTGAATCCACAGATGTGGCCCTCCAGGATGGGCGGGGGCCCATGGCTCCTAAGGGAGATCCCATGAGAATAGACATGTCTCCTTCGAGACCATGGATGTCATGCCACTCGTCCTCGGTACACGCTGTGGGAGCGCAAGGAGCCCACAACAAGCCTCAGTGCCATTTTCAAATTCAGAAACGGAAACATTGATACAACGTTACCACCTGGCCCAGCCTGTGGCTCCCATCCCAGATCCCAGGTGGGGAGCGTGGGCTGTCCTGGGTGGAACCCCGGGGCGCAGGAGCCACATCAGGATCCAAGTGGAGTTGAGCTCTAGTCTTCATTTCAG